ACGAGTATCCCCCACAGGTTGTCGATTGGATTCAAGTCCGGGGAGAGGGCGGGGTGCTCAAACATGTTGACATTTTGGCTGGTCAGGAACTCCATGGTTTCCTTCGATCGATGGATCGAGGCCCCGTCTTGCATGAAGGTGAAGTCACCCTTGTAGATTTGGTGCGCAAAGGGGAAGAGGTAGTCCTGGAGGGTCCAGATGTACTTGCAAGAGTTCTGGTTGCCCTCCAGGAAAGCAAGCTCGGTCGCCCCGTCGGAAGAAAACCCGGCCCAAACCATGACACTGCGGCCCCCGAATTTGCGAGAGAAAAAAGACTCCTTGGGATGGCGGAGGTCACGCCAGTAGCACTGTAGCCCATCCGGGCCATCCAGGTTGAACTTTTTCTCGTCGGACCAGATGATGGTGGACCAGGACGGGGGGGACTCAAGGTGTTTTTTCGCGTATTTCAGCCGCGCCTCCATGTGAGCCTTGGTCAAGAGGGGGGTGGCGTTACGCTTGACGTACTCGAAGCAAGTGTTGTCCTTGAGCATGTGACGGACCCAGCATGGCGACACGGCCAAATTGAGGTCACGAACGATTGTTGTCGCGGTTGCGCCAGTCTTGGAGGCAGTTCGGAAAATTTGGCGAACGTCGTTGACGCTCAATTTTGATGGTCGGCCGCCCTTGAAACGTTTGCCGTAGTTTTCAGGGTCCTTGAGGTAGTTACTGATGGCAGTTCGAGAGACGCCAAGGCTTTGAGCCATGAACTGCACGGTTTGTTGGTGCTGCTTCCAGACAACGATTTGTCCCTTCTGGAATTCGTTCAGTTGCTTGCCGCGACCCATGAGATGTTGTTTAGACTGCAGAAGAAGTGTTTTGTGGTGTGCATGTAAGTTTTCAGCGGTCATGGTATAGTGGTTTTTGCATTAGAGGACGATATGTGCATTGTCCTATTCTGGCTTCCGAGGCCGAAAAGGCTAGCCAGCGGCTCTACCAAAATCCAAATCGCATTTTCGAATACAGCTCATTGCATGCGGTAGAGTATCCTGAAACGTCTCCCGTGATCTAAATTTAGCCCCAGACGGTGTCAAAGTGACTTCGTTTATCATGAATTTCGTGATGTCTTAAAATTTGTTCCCGTACTGTAGCAGTGCTATACGCATGACGGCCAAACATTGATTCGAAGCATGCCCAGTACGGCTTCGTGTTGCATGCGTACTACTTTGATTCAGTCCCAAGGTACGACGACATCCGCTTTCGACGACGTATTCGAATGCTGAAGTGTCTCTTTCTGCAGAGTGCAAATGATCTGGCCAACTATGCTCGTACTTTCAACCGAAACCCAACGTCGCAGATGTAGATACAGTCATTCCTCATTTTTGCAGCCCCTACCAAATATAGTTTTACGGGGGAACTTATATGAAAGGGTTATATGAAGTCTTGGGGGAGTATATCTCCACACTAGATAAGGAGATTAATCATATTCGATGAACAAAAACTAATCGTAAACATCCGAATACCTTACACGTTTTGTGAAATGTGGTCGCACAATTTCTTAAAGCAAGTACACCCTCAGTATTACTGCACAGACATCGAACAACGTCCTAGCTTGTTATGCAGTGCTCGAATTTGTTCTATAGATGAACAGTTACGTCCGAAATCGAGATGCACCACGCAATTTACTGTTAACGTAGGTTTCAGTACGATGTCAAGTGGAATGACCCGGTCAACGAGGGTTACTAGTATGTTCAACACTGTCCTGAGGTGAAATCATAGTATTGCTTCCAGTAACTAATGCCTCATTTTGACAAACAAACTACGTCGAATACAGTGAACGAGGGAATTTAAGGCACACCGAAGTTTGAACGTTACAAACAGTTATTTTATCCAGTAATAATCCATCACCAAAATACTTCTCTTTTATTGATCATAACTAAATATTGCGCCAAATCAATATTTATAGACCGCGCAGAAGTGCCATAATTTGTGTCACCTTATCACTTTCAGAGAAGTGCATGTCTGTAACCCATGGAGACCACTACACCAGATAAGTCGAACGGAAATCATCGCCACACATACCCCATCTCTCTCAAACTCCACGCACTTGTGCTGCAGCAGCGGATGTCGTATCGGCAGGTGATGGGGCTGTCGGTCCCCTACACGACTGTTCGAAACTGGAGTCAACAGTCCGAGCTCCAAGAATACAGCGGAAACAAGAAGTCAACGAATCTACCTGGTGCAGACCGCTCAACCATCATACCGCAGCCTGAAGATCTCTTGTCGTTCATGGACTACCACCGTTATCAAGAGTGCGCGTTGACATGCAGCCACTTGGTTAACTACTTGAAACAAAAGCATCAAACATGGCTGCGGGAATACATTGCTCGCCAGAAGGAAGGGTGTAGATACGACAACCTGCTGAAACACCTACAAGAGTTTTGCAGTCACCATGGCTACACGCATCAACAAGCTTGCATGGCGAAAAGGGCCATCACCAACCTTGAGAGCACACGGACTGATTTCGCGGCGCACTTCCACAACGAATATGGCGACGTCCAAGACGACTGCGTCTACAATGTCGATGAGGCGGGTATTGAATATGACATTCCGCCGCACTACATATGGTCCCGGCGAGGTGGAAGTCCCAAGCTGTCGAAAGGCGAAAAACACTCGTACCGCATGACTGCTGTACTGACAATTCTGCGTAATGTACACAAGTTGCCCATATTGTTCATTATCAAGGGCCACGTCGACAGCCGAATCGATACCCACGAGATCCCGTCATATCCCAGCGGTCATTTCTACACAATGCAAGACAAAGCATGGATGGACGCAAACGTGTGGGAGCAGTACCTTTGGTTTGTGCTGGCAGAGAGGGTGTCAGGCCCGTTAATTCTTGTCTTTGAAACTTCGAAGCCCATGTGAGCAAGGAAGGTGTGGAAGCCATGGCCATGATTGGATGCAAAGTTTGCCCACTCCCACCGAACGCAACCTCCCACTACCAACCCCTGGACGTGTCGATCATGGCACCTTTCAAGCGGCACATGAGAGATCTGTGGATAGCGGAAGACATCGACAGTGCCAGCTCAGAGGACAACGAGGACGACTGGATCTCGCCTACTGCCCACAAGAAGCGTATCACAATGATCAATCGAGCAATCAAAGCATGGGAAATGATCACACCAGAACAGGTTCGTGATAGTTTCTTGAAAGCAATTCCTAAGCCAAAATTCCATGTTGATGTCGCTTGGGACGGCTGGCGGCGCTCGCATACGTGTTTTGCCTATAACTTGGCTTCCAGTCAAATTAGGCGCAATGGATAGTGCTCGTCAAGACGGACATTTTGCAAGTTATTTGAAAACTGAATAGAAATGAAAAAGTTATGGGGGAAATGTGTTGGGGACTCTATATAACCTTTGATTTTTGCAATTTACAGTCAATAATATTTTATGTGATCAAATCATGTTGTGCATGGGTCAATTTTATTGGTCATGAAATACCTCGAATTTCGAAGTAGTTTGCCCCATTAGATCGCAAGATTCAGTCTCAAGTTCGATTCAGGGTGTGCCTTAAATTCCCTCGTTCATTGTAGGCCTGTAAACAATATTGGCTTGGTCATATCACTTAGTAATACTACCTGCGGATAGTACCTCGAAGTAAGGCAATACAAATCCTAGTATAATTAATGACCACTGTACGAGACTTCCTTATTTTGTCTTCCAAGCGGACAGTGGACTCTTCCTTATATTTTCTTCTAGAGTACTAGTAGTAACCCCACACCTGGGATAAGGGAGGAAATATACTACCTCTAGCCGGAAATAAACCCGCCACGCCACAACCACCAGGGGAAAAATTGTATATTTTCATAAATATTTTGAATTCGGCAGATGTGAAAATACATGCTTAAAGTCCGCAATCCGGCGAATCTGATTGGCTTGGCGAGACAAAAATAAAGCGTGATTTCGCACGTAGGTAGTAGAGGAAGTATTCGATACGAAACTCACATGCTGTCAAGTCAACCCCCAAGAGTGATGTATGTTACACATTTGACTCTGCATATTGTGAAAATGGTGAGAATTGAGAATTTAAAAATGCATATGCATCTATGCACTAATTCAATAATTCGAGCAATGGTCTCAAGTTGCTCAACATCAGTAAGTCGGCGAAGGGTGGTTGAAACATGTTGTGAACTTAAGTTTGTATGATTAACGTCACAGTAAAATTGTCACCCCCCCTGATGTATTGTTTCAAACGTGACAAGATGCAATGAAACTTGATTTTTTTATGTGTCATTAAGACCAGCTGCTGCACTGTTGAAATTTGAGCTTGAGTGTAGGTCGAAATTGAAAAATTTATGTTGTTTGAGCTTCACTGTGCAAGGAGAGTATTTTTTAATAAACTTTTTGTATTATTTTATTGTATACAGTTTGACAATGTTTTGTACTGGAATTTATTCAATTTTGCGGGTCTCTCTTGTGACGGGTTTATTTCCGTCCTTCAACAATTTTGTTATGGCTGGTTTATTTCCGGCTAGAGGTAGTAGCTCAGTGGTAGCGCATCGGTTTTTCTTAACTCAAATGTCGTCGGTTCGATGCCCGGCATCCCCGGATTATTTTCGCAAGGATATATCCCTCCCCAGGGGAATCCGGATAACAGGGCTGCATACATATGTACGAAGACGAGGACCGAATTTCGAAGAAGATCGGTCGAAGCACGGGTATGAAGCGTTGAGCGACGTAAAAACCGAAAATTACACACCACCACTGGTCGAGAAGGTGCGTTACAATTGGCGAAGCAGTTCCACAATATGTGGTTCTAGTATCGGCCCTCGCGGTTAATTGAGTTTGGATTATCATTTGTTTATAGTCCGCGAGGGCATTGAGGGAACCTGTGCTCCCTCTTTAAAACTTATAACTATATTACAGAGGCTGCAATAAATTTAATTGTTGCGGCACTTGTGAACCATGCAAAATCTAATGTGTATAACATTTTACGAGTAATCAATCGATCGAGAGAGCGTCCTAATAATCCACGTCGCTGGAACTGGAGGCGCTTGATGACGAAGCGTCGGTGCAGATGTCGCTGTCACTATCTTGCTCGGGGGTATCCTCAGTTTCAGCTGTACGGGGAGCACAGTTAAGCCCCAGGAGCTTTGCCGTCGACGCTGCAACCGTGCTGTGGATGACGTTGGAGTCCAGCTCATAAAACGCACGCTCGAGACGATCGCGGACGTCTTGGAAGGTCGTAGTCGAGGTGTACTGCCGTCCAACTGTGCCCTTGACGTTGGCCCATACCATTTCGATTGGTTGCAGCTCCGAAAATCCTGGAGCTGAGTACACGACATGATGTCCACGAGCCTTGGCCATCTCACACACAACAGGTATGACCAGCTCCGAAAATCCTGGAGCTGAGTACACGACATGATGTCCACGAGCCTTGGCCATCTCACACACAACAGGTAGGACATCCTCGTCCAAATGCTTCCAAATGGTTGTCTTGAGGTCGGTCGGTGAGGCGTCGGCGATGATCAAGTCCACGCACGCTTGGTACAAGGCTTGCTTGTGCCACGTCCCCTTTGGGTTGTCTTGGGCTTCCCCTTGTGGTACTTCGCGTTGTCCATGACAAATACGGCGGACGACCAGCCCAGTTCCTCGACCTCATCGATCAATTTTCCAATCCAGTCGACAAAGTAATCATGGTTGAACATCGAATGGTAATCCTTGATGTCTTTACCGTTCTTCTTACCGCCGACGAAAATGTCCAGTCCCAACAGATGAGCCATGTCAGATCTGTCGTCCAGAATCGCCGCGACAAAGCAGTACCGTCGACCCTTGCTGTGGCCTGGTCCGTGGGATCGAACAAGCTGTCGGCGTGTCGGCTGTACTGTAGTGGTGATGGATGAAGCTTTCATCCAGGTAACGACAAGTCTACGCGGGGCGCTCGTCACAGTGGGAACCATGATCTCAACGTATGCGTCCCGAGCTTGCTCGTGTGCCTTCGACACACGGTATGTCTGCTTCGCGTTCGCATATCCTCTTTCGCGAGGAAGATCTGAACAGCTCGCAAGCACGCTGAATAGTCCTTTGGTTGATCTGCATCCACAGTCACACAGTGGTTGTCTTAAAGCACGGCGAGGACGTCCTTAACCACGATCCTGGTGCGTGTAACACAGTGGTCACGGATGAAACGCTTGACCAAGGCGCGCACAGCTCGGGTGTTGGGAACCCTGGATTGGTGATTCGTCGTGTTGGATGGCCGACGCGAGACCGACAGGTCCCCTGTGGCCAAGAACTCGACCATGACAGCCTTGACTGTGCGGGCACCATGCCCAAGCAATCCAGCGAGACGTCAGAGCATCTTTCTCACGAAGGGATGCTTGAAGCCAAAGAATGTCCAGCTTCTCCACGAATTTCTTCGTCCGCGCTATGACCCCCGCGTCCATGCACGACACAGGAATTTTGGTTTACCGTGAAACGTGAAATTGGTGGGAATCGATAGGCCCAATCACAGCCGTCATTTTGCGCTCTATTTGACGCAAATTGGTGCAGAAATGCGAAAGATAGCCCAAAAAGAGTGAAATTTAGTGCATTTTGAGCGACTATTTCGATACATGCATGCCATTAATATATAGAGGTTGAACTGACCTCGAAAATATAAAAATGATTTGAAACCTTCTTTCAATGTTGATATAGTGTTTCAGAAGTAATCAAATTTCAATGACGTTTTTTTTTGGAAAATGAAGCCTGAATCACATCGTATTGTGAGGGATATGGCATTCCGGAGTGTAAATGACTCTGTACTTTAAAGTGCTTGCTCAGGCGAGTCCGAGACTTCAAAAATCGAGGAAATTGGCCCAGCCAATCGAGTAGAAGTTCCTCCGATGCCCTCAGGGACTGTTAAGACATTCCTCCGCGAGAGGCGCAGATGAAATGTCTTAATAATGGTAAGGTAATGCATCAATTATTGACACTGTTTTTGGTCAAGTTTTGGCCATGACTTCAAATTCCAGTAATTCGAGAACGAGAACCATTATTTTAATGCTGATAGCACCACAAGAGAAGATAAAACGCGACCATTTTTTTGACGGATCCTTGAGCATGATTGGACTTCATTTCAGATTTGAATCGAAATTAAATGTTTTGAGCTTTATCCTCACGATTTTTGAGGTGAACCAATTCATGACACTCATTAAAACCTTGATGTTTGTATTAGATTAAACTAATATGCAAAATAATTTGATCGAAAATATAATTGCATGCATTTCGCAATTAGCAATAAAAGTTTACATGAATTTAATTAGTCAGCGTAAAAAAATGCAATCACATTTTAATTCATTGTTGTGGATCACAACAGTAGCGGCATAGTGGAGGCCATCCATTAGTTACGAGGAGCAATACACCTGCTGCTTCTTTGTTTGTGGTAGCAATGGCTCTAAAGTGAGTACTTCCATGTACACTGCGCGCCAAAAATGAGAGAACACTTGCATTTTTTGTGATATCTCATCAACCAATGGGAGTTAAGCGATGCTGTTTGGATATGATGTGTGGACGAATATTCTCGAAAAGTGATTATAGCTATCGAACTGGAATTCGCTTGATTTCGATGACCTCACATACAATTCAAAAATAATGGACGGCGACAAAAGTAAGGAACAAAAATACATACAAAAACTAAGATAAAGAATGACGGTATTTTGCAGAATGTTTGTAATCCGTTTAGTCCTGTCAATTTCACTTCACTTTTGTATATGAAAACACGTCAAAAAGTCACTGACGAAGAACGCGGTCGAATCCGAGGACTGCGCGAGGCAGGAGCCGACCACTCAGCGTCGTTTCACGATGCTTACGTCCCAGACGCCAACCAAAACCTCGAGGCAGACCACTGCAGCTTTCCGATCGCCACCGACGTCAGCTCCTCAAAGCAGCCACCACCGGCGCGTCAAGCGCCGTCCAAATCCGTGCCGACTTGAACCTACCTTGCTCTAAAAGGACCGCTCAACGCGAAGTTCAACGATGCGACTTTCTCGAGTACTCCATGATGGAGAAAACCCTGGATCTTACACCCCAACGCAAAGCCGCGAGATTCGACTGGGCCATGGCGCGTTGCAGAACCGAAGAGTGGAAGTCCGTCGTGTTTTCGGACGAAAAGAAGTTCAACCTGGATGGCCCGGGATGGTTTTAAGCAGTACTGGCGCGATATTTGACAACCCGCGAAACAAGCCGTGACACGGCAACAAGGCGGCGGTTCAGTGATGGTTTGGGGTTGCATTGCGTGGGAAGGAAAGAGCAAATTCGCGTTTCTTAGTGGTAAGCAGTCGTCCTGCCACTACATCTATACTCTTTCAGAGTATTTACTGCCATTTGCCCACTTAAACTATGGTGCTGATTTTGTCTTTCAGCAAGACAATGCATCCATTCATGTTTCCCATGAAACAATGGACTTTTTTCACGAGCAACACCACTCCGTTATGCCATGACCCGCGCGCTCTCCTGAACTGAATCCAATCGAAAACATTTGGGCTGCAATGTCCCGCCATGTTTACGGGCATGGCAAGCAGTACAGAAATGTCGTCGACCTTCGGGATGATATTCAAAGTGAATGGGACGCCATCTCTATAGAGTTCATTCGAAAGCTCATTGGCACCATGGACGGCAGATGCATGGAAGTTATTTGCAAAAAAGGCGATAAGACACACTATTGACCATCATTCTTCAATATACCGTCATTCTTTATCTTAGTTTTTGTATGTATTTTTGTTCCTTACTTTTGTCGCCGTCCATTATTTTTGAATTGTATGTGAGGTCATCGAAATCAAGCGAATTCCAGTTCGATAGCCATAATCACTTTTCGAGAATATTCGTTCACACATCATAACCAAACAGCATCGCTTAACTCCCATTGGTTGATGAGATATCACAAAAAATGTAAGTGTTCTCTCATTTTTGGCTCGCACTGTATCACGTAGCTACCGTATAATCTATGTCCTTTTAGGTGGGTGATATTTCACAACCACACGACGTTTGAGCTCTTGGAAAAATATGTCCATTTAGGTATACAAAAACTTAATACAAGCACATCACACATGACACCCGATTCATATAGAGGTTTATCTATTCTGCACAGGTACCTCAAGTCTGACAGTTATAATTCTGACTTATCCCAATACTAGAACCAGGTACTTATTTTTAGAGAAGTTGAACACTATTGTCGATGTCATCAGTTGGATCAATCGTTTCGTCCACACCAGATATCGACACCAGGTCGGACATCATCTTCGGAGACACAAACTCTTCCTCACTTTCGATGGCTTCTGTGACCTTTGAGACCAGCTTGCACTTCCCAAATCCATTCATAATAATAGACTCTGGCAACCCAGTCCACAGTTAGTAATCCATCGTACCAGTGTTGGACGCTTCGGGGCTTGCAACTTGAACGTGCTCACGGACCAACTCGGCAGCCCGCGCAGAGAACTTGGCTAACGCTGCGTCACAGTCCCCTTCACCGGACCTGGTGAGGGCACGCCACGACAGCTTGAAGCGTCTTTTAAATCCACGCAGCCACTGCCAACTCGCGGTGACGCTGGCTTCATCCAGGCCGGTGTCAATAGCGGTCTCCAACGCCATGATTTGGATCATCTGCGGTGTCACTGGATCGCCGTCTTGACGCATGGAGTTTACCCACCGAGCAAGTTGTTCTTCGTACTCCCTGGGAAGTGTTGTTGCCATGCCCAAGTCACGCGAGCACAAATGGTCATAAGTTCGTCGATTAGTAGCCTTTACCCTTATGTGAGCACGATGCTTGAGCCACCCATACACCTTCTTTCTTGTCGTATTGAGTCGGGTTCCACTGAGTTGTGGAAAGTGCTTGGCAAGTGTGGCTGCCATGCCGACCTC